CACCCACGATTAGAGCAGCTGGGACAGACAGCGCTAGTGATGTGCATCCCATGCAGGGGCACCCAGGCCTACCTCATAGGAGGCAGCACTGGTGACTTCAGGCCAGCACCAGGGTCCATTGAGTCCAGTGCCAGTGGACTCCCCTGTTAAGGAGTGTCAAGTGGAGGAGTTGGAGCTCCCTTCCACCCCGGACACATTCAAGGCGGCCAGGGACCTGATCGCCATGACTGCACAGCAGTCCCCCGCCAGGCAAGACAGACCTCTGGCACCTCAAGTGAGCGCGGTGCTGTCCAGAGGCAAACCAGCAAGGATGCAGCATCACTCGCCTTCCCCTCAGCACCATTCCCCGGCACTGTCCCACTGGGCACTGCTGTAGTCTCCATGCTTGGAGTCTCAGTCATTGGACTCAGAGGTGGAGTCCTACTATTGAGACGCCGCCAGCACTGGTCGGAACGGTGCCACTATAGGCAGGAGGCAGCTCAAGCCGCTCCCCCACCCCCACCCCATGGTGCTACAGCCGGCGCAGTGGCCATTCTGGACCGTGCAGGTGTGCCATTAGGCCCATTGTCCCTACTCCAGGGGCTCCCAGTCTGTCACCTCAGAAGGGCATGCTTCTCCGTCGCCCAGGGACTGTCTCCCACCACATGGTACCGAGGCAGGTTCGGACTTCGGCACAGAGACTGTTGCAGATGCCAGCTCTGAGGCCATCAGTTCCATCAAGCTGACATGCAATCATGGTACAGGCCTCCTTGGGAACCTCCACCACCTATGCCCTTCCCCCTCCCCCGCACCAATGATTGTATTGGGATCCTTGGGTGACGTACGAATCACATACTTTGCAGGCATCTAGTGTCTCTGAGAGTCTGCCAAACTGTCTCCTACAGCGTTACTGTCCAGGATCATTATCAGTACAGAGTGCTCCCATTCGGCCTCTCGTCCACACCCAGGGTATTCTCCAAGGTTCTCTCTGTCATGGCGGCTTGCCTGCAAACACTGGGTATTGTTATCTACCCATATTTGGATGACTGCTTCCTTAGGGCTTCCTCATTCGAGGACACAGTACGAGCTACCCAGACGACCTTGCACAGCCGAGCCTGCAACTCAACATACAGAAATCAACACTGATCCCTGTACAGTGACTGGAGTTTATCAGTACCAAACTCAATGCAGTACAAGTGAGAGCGTTCTTCCTGCTGCACAGGCTAACCACCCTCACGAATTTCATAGAGACAGTCCTAGCCAGCCCCCAAACATTGGCCAGGAACTGCCTGCAGCTGCTAGGTTATATGGCAGCATGCACCTTGGTCAGTCCAAATGCTCGACTATTCTTGAGGTGTCTTCAGATGTGGCTCCATTCTGTCTATTCCCTGAACAGAGGCAGACTAACCAAACTGCTATCAATGCTCTCCACAATATGGCACTCCCTGGACTGGTGGAAAGACCCATCCAATGTTCGAGCAGACGTTCCATTCATGCAACCACCACCACCGTTGACTCTTATGACAGATGCCTCCCTGATAGGCTGGGGAGCCCGCCTACACAACTGCAAGGTTCAGGGCAAGTGGTCCTCCACAGAATCAGTCCTCCATATCAGTCTTTTGGAGCTGAGGACCGTCAGGAATGTCTGTGCACTCTTTCTACCATTCATCAAGAATACCCACACAAAGGTTATGACACACAATATGACCTGTATGTTTTACATAAATCTCCACGGGGCGATCTCTCTCCCTCTGCACAGAAGCACTCAAACTTTGGACTTGGTGCATCCTTCATAACGTGCTCATATCAGCCACCAGGGATACAGAACATGACAGCCAACAGTCTCAGTCGGAACTTTTCTAACAACCACTAATGGGAACTGAATTCAGAGGTGCTTTGCAACATATTCGCCCCTTGGGGAATCCTGACTACAGATCTCTTCGCTACTTACCAGAACAAGAAATGTCCTTGTTACTGTTCCAGGTCCAGTCTGTGGAACCATTCACTGGGAGACACCGTCATCCTCCTGTGGGACACGTGGTATTGTATGCCTTTCCCCTGGTTTCCTCTTCTAGCCAAAGTCCTGCTGAAAATTCAGTGAGACAAAGCAAGTGTTACTCTGATTGTCCCCTCCTGGCCAAGACAAGTCTGGTTCCCTTACGTGGCACAGATGGCAGTATTCCTCTTTGGTCCATTCTTCACCTACTCTCTCAAAATGACCGCCTGATCCTTCACCCCAACCTGAAGATCCTCCACTTCCATGCTTGGCTCCTTCTTGGTTCCAAGACTTAGAGGTTGAGTGCTCTGACAAGGTGAAAGATGTGTTGCTACACAGATGAAAGTTGACCACTCAACGTACTTATCTACAAAAATGGAAATGATTCCAAATTTGGTGTCATTCTAAGCACGTAGACCCAGCCTCATCCTCCCTCTCTCTGATTTTAGACTACGTTTTAGACCTCAAAAAGTCAAAACTCGCCCAGCTCCCTTATGGTATACTTCACAGCTGTGACAGCCTTCCACCATCAAGTAGCTGGATATTATGTGATCACTCACCCATTGATACATACATTCCTTAAGGGCATTGGGTATCTCTTCCCACATGTGAGACCACATACTCCAACTTGGGATCTTAACCTAATTCTTACAGCTTTGACTAGACCCCCCTTTGAGTACTCTCTGTAGTAACAGACTCCATTCCAAAGCCCAAGCCTTCCATGGGGGATACTGCTGTGAAGTCCTCTACAGTGGAGCACCCATAGGGACACTACTAGAAGAAGAAAGAGAGAAAGGGAAAGAAAAGAAACTCACCCTGTGCAGTAACTATGGTTCTTTGAGATGTGTGTCCCTATGGGTGCTCCACAACCTGCCCTCCTCCCCTCTACTTCAGAGTTCTCAATATGTACTCCTGGGGGAGTTCTGCACCAAAAAATAAAAATTTTGCACATAATATATTTTGAAGTTCTGCAAAATTCTGCATATGTTGTCAAAACACACTATAATCCCTCCAGTTTCAATTATTTTGGTTATTTATTTCAAAATACCTGTCAACAAGTATATCAACAATACACACAACAGAAAAGATTCCCCCAGGAGTAGAGTTAAAGAAACCCGTATGACAACCCAGTTCCAGTTGAGGGGTGCTGGAGGGGATGCATGGGCCCCCAGAGTCCAGACACCGGTACTCATCTTCCCCCAGAGCCCAGCTATGGGTTACTCCCTGGCCCCAAAGACCAGACACTGCACCCCTCTTCCCCCAGAGCCCAGCTGTGAGGCACCCCCAGAACCTTTACTCCCCCACAGCTTCCTTACTGTCTCCCCTGGGGATGTGATGTGGTGTAGCCCTTCTTCGCCCTTTGCCACAGCTGGGTCTCCTGCGCCCTCTCCCATCCCCCAGAGAATGAGGATCAAGCAAGGCAGTCAGAGTGTGCAGAGCCTTCATCCCTGCTGAGCTGGGTGCTCTGCTCACTGCAAGCTGGGCTCTGCAGAGTCTAGTGGCAGCCAGAAGCTCTGTGGTCCCAATTCTACATGAGAAACATGGAATTCTGTGCAAATTCTGCATTGTGCAGTGGCGCAAAATTCCCCGAGGAGTAAATATGGGACTCTGCGGTAGAGAAGGAACTGAGGGAGTTTGTCTGCGCAGTGCTAGATAGCCTCAAGGGAGGGACAGTGCAAGTGCAGGCTGAATGGACACTGCTATCAAAAATCTCCAATTAGAGGTGCAGGGGCACAGATACACCTACAGTGGCGCACCCATAGGGGAACACATCTCGAAGAACCATTGTTACTCACCTTGTGGTGTAACTTTCTCTTTTTACTTTCACCCTACTACAACTTTTCCTCTATCCTGAGGCTCAGACCTAATTTGTAGAGGTAAAATAACTTTTTTTTATATGAAACAGACTAAATCCCTTCAAATTTATTTGTTTCAGATTATTCAATACATTCAGTGCATCTCTCCAAGAAAGAGGATTTCTTTTTTTCATAGTAGGCCTAGAACCTTAAGGACCTACTAAGGGGCACAATTCATAGGTGCTTCAGGAACTATATTCACATTTTTTATGTGGGAATTCTGTCATAGAAACTTAAAGGAAATTTTAATGGAGTTCTTCATAGCTTTTTCAGACATATGCCCTTTGCTCTCACCTCAGATTATCTGCCACCATCTCCAAAGAGTTGCAGTTCATCACTCCTCCCTTACCCCTGCCATCCCAGCTTCTAAAGCTTTTTGGGGGTGATGCAGCAGTGAGAAGAATCTTTCCTCCTTCTGCTCCTCTTATGAGGAACCAAAATTTCTGGGGCTCTTCAGCCCTGAATGGGACCTCCTAACTGAGCTCCTTCTGTCTCAGCCCCGTTCCGCTGGAAAAGTGTCTGTGGGCTGTAACTGCTCCCAGCCCACTGACTCTCTGGGTTAGCTGGCTAGATTTCCTTGGGGTGAATGAGACTTAAGGGTATCTTATGGCCTGACACCCACTCCTGAAGGCCCTGCATTGCAACATCCATTCCTCTTGTCAAGTGAGGCAAGATGTAGCTACTGCTGGAATGGCTTAGTCATTTAAGAGTCACTTCCTGCTGTTCTGGGAGAAGAGTTAACTTGTAACAGTAATCCTTCACATGACAGTGTTTGTGCTATTGCTGGTCTGGCTGAGAATTTTTAGACTTCCTTTTTCTATGAAGCATAAAAAAATTAACTATTTGCTTAACACTAACAGGCATATCTCAATTCTTTCTGAAAACTATTCTCTTGTGTATTACTTTTTTGTTAATGATACAAAATTCCCCAGTTATGTTGCCATTGAAATGTTTTGCTTTATTATATATGTTCAGATACTGGACATATGAAAAGCCTATGCAGATTTTTAACACAATTTTAAATGTATACATTTCCCCCCCAGAAACTGTTAAAGATTGTCACCGAAAAAAGTAGAGACTACAATATATTTCACTTGGAAAAACTTTATGCAATACTCAGCCAATGTATTTATCGACATCGCAAAGACTATGACAAGACCAAATTAATACAGGTAAACATATATTTAAATATTAAATCACTCTCTTAAATGTTAGATAATAAACTGCATTCTACTTACACAACTGATATTTATGAGTATTCCTAATGTAAAGATTATCTTGTTTCATTTTCACTAATCTGTCCACATCTTAGTAGCCTGTCTGAAATAAATTATTGATCTCCATCTAACGGACATGTATCCATATCACAAAACTACCATCATATTTGGCACAATTGTTGTCAGATTCAGCAGACAGAAAAATTGACTGAATATGGAGACAGTCTCACCCACACAACTTTTTTCAAAACGTTAAACCACATATGTACTCTTCAGAGCCAACATTTTGGAACAAAAAAGGCCCCACTCTGTTATTTCCTCTCTTTTAGCCTGCCAGTGCAGGCATATAATCCAACCTCACCCTGTGGAGGATTAATCTTATTATTTTTGCAAGTATAGTCATTTAAGCTTGTTTTCTGTGTAGTGCTTAGGCTTGTGTTCATGAAGGATTCATCTACAGTATCTCCTCACTTAACGTAGTTATGTTCCTGAAAAACGGACTTTAAGCAAAACAATGTTAAGTGAATCCAATTTCTCCATAAGAGTTAATGTAAATGGGGGGGTTAGGTTCCAGGGAAATTTTTTTGCCAGACAAAAGGCATTATATACCTTTATTATACCATTATACCATTCATTATACCATTAAACAAGCAATTTAATACAGGTATTAAACAGATTGACAACCCCCCTATCAGCTCCTCCCTCTCTCCCTCTGCCCCCCAGCACCTCCTGCTCGCCGACGGATCAGCGCCTTCCCCCGGTCCCTCCGCCTCCTGCCTGCGGCAATCACCTGTCTTGTGGCATTCAAGAGGCTGGGGGGAGAAGCGAGGATGCGGCACACAGCCTCCCCCCTTCCTCCCCTGCCTGCGGCAATCAGCTGGTTTGCGGCATTCAGGAGGGAGGGGGAGCCTGTGCGCCGCGTCCTCACTCCTCCCTGCAGCCTCCTGAATGCCGCAAACCAGCTGATTGCTCCGGGCAGGAGGCCGGGGGAGCAGGAGGAAGGCGCTGGTCTGCGGGGTCTGCCAGCAGGCAGGAGGCGCTGGGGGATGGGGGGCATAGGGGAGCTGATGGGCTGCCAGCTGTGGACAAAGCAGGCAGCCAAACGATGTTATAGCGGAGCGTTGCACAACTTTAAATGAGCATGTTCTGTAATGGAGCAGGGACGTAAGATCGAAACAACGTTAAGCGAGAGGACGTTAAGTGGGGAGTTACTGTACTTATTAGATATGGAGAAGAAAGGGGTGCTCCTCTTGTTCTTCGAGTGATTGCTTATTTCAATTCGAAGGAGGTGTGTGCACGCCGCACGCACGATCGTCGGAAGGTTTTTTCCTAGCGGTACCCATCGAGTTGGCTGTGGAGCCCTCTGGAGTGGTGCTTTTATGACCGTATATATAGATCCCTTCTGACCCGCCACCTCTTCAGTTCCTTCTTACCACCAGTAACGGTCATTGGAGCAGCTTCCCTCTTGCGTCAGCAAGCGATTCCATAGTGGACTCTGTTTTTCTCCCTGTAAATAGTTTGAAAGTATAGTTAGTAATAAAGTTATAGTTACTGATAAGTACAGTAGTTAAGTTTTAGTTGGGGGTCCTCCCCAGATGAGCTGATAGCAGGCACTTCCACCACACCTGCCCACTGTGGACACCAGGGCCCATCAAGACCTGCTCAGGAGGGTGGCCCAGAACCTGAACTTGCAGGCAGAAGAGGTCTCTGAGGACATGGATCTCATGGTGGATATTATGTCCCCTGAAGGGACCTCAAGGGTAGCTCTGCCCCGCATCAGAATTATTCAGAATATCACCAACATGCTGTGGCACACACCCGTCTCTAATCCGGGATCTGCCTTTCTACCGCTCTGGCCTTTAGCGGGAACAGACTGACTCAAGGCTTCATAGCCTTAAGGACTCGCGGGTGACCCTCAAGTCTTTGGGGCTGCACATGCTGGCCCCTCAAAGAAACATTTAAGCCCCAGGCCGCTCCACACTTCTATTCTGCCCATCCTAGATAGGACTACAGCAGAAAGTAGGGCAGAAGTAACAGGAGGTGCCCATCTCAGTCCTCCTCCAGCCAAGGCCAGGGCTCAGTTAAGCAGCCTTCGAGCTCAAAGCCAAACTTTTGAAGGTGCGCCTGAGGATGGAACACCAGTTCAATGCCCAGATCCTTCCCCCTCCCTTAGTGAACCATCTCTCCCATTTCTAGCATGCCTGGGCTCAAATAACCTCAGCATGGTAGAATTGGGATATTCTCTCCAATTCTGTTTCCTTCCACCCTCCCTCCCACCCATCCCCGTCTCTCTTCAGGGACCCTTCTCATGAGCAACTTCTAGTGCAGGAGGTGCAAACACTTCTACAGCTTGGGACAGTAGAGGAGGTTCCTCTGGAGTTCAGGGGCAGGGGATTCTACTACCGTTACTACTTAATCTCCAAAGCCAAGGGTGGGCTCAGGCCCATTTTAGACTGCGAAATCTCCAACAAATTCATGAAGAAATTGAAGTTCCGCATGGTCTCCCTGGCTTCCATCATTCCCTCTCTGAATCTGGGGGACTGGTATGCCGCCCTCGACTTGAAGGATGTGTACATCCACATCTCCATAATCCCTTCCCACAGACAGTTTCTGTGATTTGTGATCAGCAGCACACACTGTCAGTTCACGGTCCTCCCCTTCGGCCTATTGGTGGCCCCTTGGGTGTTCACCAAGTGCATGACGCCCTTTCTTCAAAAGAGTCAGGTGCAAATCTTCCCATACCTAGATGACTGGCTCATCAAGGGCCAGTCCTGAGCCCAGGTGGAGGAACACATGAACCTGGTATGTCTTCTGTTCCTCAAACTCTGTCTCATCCTCAATGTGGTAAAGTCAACTGTAGCTCCCACTCAGAGAATAGAATTCATCGGGGGCCTCTTGGACTCCACCGAGGCCAGGGTGTTCCTCCAAGAGTCTCATTTTCTGGCCATGAGCACCATCTCCACCGGTTCCACGCCACAACAGCCAGAAATTGCCTAAAATTGCTCAGACATATGGCAGCGTGTACTTATGTAGTGCAGCATGCAAGGCTACGCCTATGTCCCCTTCAGGCGTGGCTGGTCCAAGTGTACAGGCCGAACTGGGACCATCTAGTCAGACTGGTCACACACACTCCTTGGGTTCTCGAGTCTCTCCAGTGGTGGCTCGATCCACAGGCAGTCTGTGCGGGACTACCCTTCTCCAAACCTCAGCTGTTGCTAGTCACAGATGCACTGGCACTGGGGTGGGGAGCGTACCTGGGTGACCTCAGAACTCAAAGCCTATGGTCCCAAGCGGAACTATCGCTCCATATCAATGTCAGGGAGCTGCGTGCAGTGCGTCTAGCTTGCCAGATGTTTTGCGCCCATCTTCAGAGCAAATGTGTATCGGTGTTGACGGACAACACCACAGCGCTGTTCTATATAAACAAACAGGGTGGTGCTCACTCCTCTCCCCTGTGCCAGGAAGCCCTCAGGTTGTGCGACTTTTGCACTGCACACCCAATACAGTTGGAGGCATCGTATCTGCTGGGCACACGCAACGAACTGGCTGATTGCCTCATCAGATCCTTCCATGGCCACGAATGGTCTCTAAAACCGGATGTTGTCAGCAATATCTTCCTGAGGTGAGGATCTCCCCAGGTATACCTGTTCATGACATGAAGCAATAGGAAGTGCCAGGAGTTTTGCTCCTTCCTGAATCTCAGCCCCAGCTTGATTGCAGACGCCTTTCTCCTCTCATGGACAAGGGTGCTTGCTGTACATGTTCCCACCATTTCCTCTCATCCACAAGGTCCTCCTCAAGGTCTGGCAGGACAAGGCATCGCTGATTCGCATGGCCCCGCCAACACTGGTTTTCCACGCTGTTGGACCTCTCTGTGGACACGCCAATGACCTTGCCCATGATTCCAGACCTCATCACGCAGGACAAGGCATCGCTGATTCGCATGGCCCCGCCAACACTGGTTTTCCACGCTGTTGGACCTCTCTGTGGACACGCCAATGACCTTGCCCATGATTCCAGACCTCATCACGCAGGACCACGGCTGCCTTCAGCTCCCCAACCTGGGGTCTCTCCACATCACCATGTGGAAACTACGTGACCTAAATTTGTTAGTGCTCCAGTGCTCCAATTTGGTTAGAGAGGTTCTCCTTGGCAGTAGAAAGCCCTCCACTTGTGCCACTTATTTGGCCAAGTGGAAAAGGTTCTCTTTGGTCCTCACAGAAGGGCACTTCTCCACTGCAGTCCTCAATCCCCTTTATACTGGACTACTTACTCTACTTAAAGCAGCCAGGGCTGGCAGTCTCGTCAATCAAGGTGCACCTGGCTGCTATTTCTGCTTTCCACCTGGGTGCAGCAGGGCGGTCAGTATTTGCTAACCCCATGGTTGGACGCTTCCTTAAAGGGCTAGACAGGCTGTACCCATAGGTGCAGCAACCGGCCCGATAACCTGGTCCTCTCAAGGCTCATAGGCCCCCCTTTGAACCTCTAGCAACTTGTTCTCTGCTTTTTCTCTCTTGGAAAGTGGAATTTCTTGTGACTATAACTGCAGCCAGAAGAGTGTCTGAGCTCAGCTTTAATGTCTGTCTGAGCCCCCTTACACAATGTTTTATAAGCACAAGGAGCAGTTGCAGCCGGACCCAGCCTTTCTCCCTAAAGTAGTCTCACAATTTCATGCAAATCAGGACATCTTTCATCCCTGACGCATGCTCCATTCCCTAGATGTTAGACGGGCACTGGCTTTTTACATTGAGCGGACAAAGCTATTTAGGAAGTCAACACAACTCTTCATCGCCATTGCTGAAAAAATTAAAAGGACTGCCAGTCTCATCCCAATGAATCTCTTCTTGGATCACAGCCTGTATCAGGACGTGCTATGACCTGGCAAAGATACCAGCCCCAGCATTGATGATGCACCTCATGAGAGTGCAAGCTTCATCTACGGCGTTCCTAGTGTAGGTCCCCATTCAGGATATCTGCAGAGTGGCAACGTGGTAGTCTGTTCACACCTTTACGTCGCACTATGTCATCACACAGCAGGCTAGAGACAATGCCACGTTTGGGAGAGCAGTGCTGCAGTCTGCCAATTGGTGAACTCTGACCCCTCCTCTGGGGGACTAGTTGGAAGTCATCCACTTGGAACTGACATGAGCAATTATTCGAAGAAAAAATGGCTACCTACCTTTCGTAACTGTTCTTCAAGACGTGTTGCTCATATCCTTTCCAAGACCCACCCGCCTCCCCTCTGTCGGAGTATCCGGCAAGAAAGAACTGAAGAGGCGGCAGGTTGGCAGAGACCTATGTACACTGCCATGAAGGCGCCACTCCAAGGGGCTCCACAGCTGACCCAACTGGTACCACTAGGGAAAAACCTTCCAACAATCATGCATGCGGCATGCACACCTACTTGGAATGGACATGAGCAACACATCTCAAAGAACAACAGTTACGAAAGGTAGGTAACCGTTTTTCCACTAAACTCTCTCAATTTTGGGCTAACGTGTCCAATTCTTGAACATCTTTAATATCTGTCTTAAAGAATGTTTTCTGCCTGTGCAGATTTACAATAACTACGCAGAGAGCATGATTCTCAAACTCTTTCTCATGAAGAGGCTTTATGTTCAGCCAGACTTGAGCTGAAATCTGCAGGAGGCATCAAAGGTCCACATCAGGCAATTCCAACACTGAGACTCTTAGGTGGTCTGAAATCTAGTCTTTAGATCCAAAATGCATGGATGTTTGTCCTAGTGTTTGAGCTGTTTATCTATGAATGGCTCCAGTTGCTCTGCTGATCCTTCTACAACTTCTCTTAAAAGAAAGATTTCCTCCTCCACGCACTGGTCCTCCAGATCCAGTCTTCCACGTCTGATGATCAGAAAGGATCCTCTGTTCTGATTGTTTGGATCCAACGAGGCCATCTGCATTCTTGCACAATGTCCTGAAATGGATGCCTTTCTCGACCCAGAATCCATCCATAGTGATATGGTTCGAGCATGAGAAGGGAACTCATTTAGAACATTGGGCTCATGGAACCCAAGGAATGCAGAATGCACAAGTCTTTTGGAGTTCAGGGCTATCGGGTTATTTTATGTTTTCCTCTAATCCAAAGAAGGAAAGGCAGTGCAGATTGCCCTAGTATTATTTGGGAAAATGTGGTGGTTGAACAGGCAAGGAGAAAGCTCTGTCTTCTTCTTGTGTCAAGAGGCAGAATGTCTGGGAATAATACTATCTGAATAGACTAATTCCTTCAGCTCTGGTCTGTTCTACCTGTAACTGGTTGCTTGCATGGCCACTGAAAGTATTGCCTCTGCAGATCAACCCTTGACTCTCCATCTTTCCCTTTTTTCTGGATATGTAAGCATGTATCTGAAGCTAGAGAGGAAAGGACAGTTAGGTGGCTTTGATGCCATTGATTCTAGAATCCTGAATGTGAATGTGTCCACAAAGGACTGTGTATCTCATGTGGCAGGGCACATAACTCTACAGTATAGATATGCAAAGGCAATACATTTGGAGAAAAACTGTTACTGGTGAGTAACCTTTTTCTTATTATAGTTATTTTAGCTGAATTTGTCAAATATGTACAATGGCTAGTGATATTTACAAATCTTGAAAAACTATAGAAATCATTATATAATATAAATAAAATAACAGTTTCCACTCATGCTTGTTGTTTTTTGTTCTCTTTCAGGAAATGAAAAAAGAAATTGCAGTCTTCAAGCAAACTGAAGATGATAATATCTAAAATTAACTGATTTCTACTTTTCTAATCTTTTACTTTAATTTTATGGTCCTTTGTTACCTGTGCATAGTTCAATATCAGAGTGCATATACATGTATAAATATATTAAACTATATTGAGACAAGATCAAGTAAAGTCTTTAAACTGCTTATTTCTAATTGTGGTTTTTTTAATGCTACCTTTAGTATGATAATTAGTAAAATGGAAGAGCAGGAGGGCTTTTGGTCTATTGAGATCAGTCTGCCCAGCAGTCCCCTCTCACGTGTTCACTCAAAGAGCTGCATAAGTCAATTAAGATATACTGTACAATTATGACGACAAAAATATGAAAAAATACAAAGTAATGTATTTAAAATTGTGCAAAATATCTGAGTAATATTTGATTATGTAACTACGGAGTTGTGTAATGCACAAGCAGAAAGGGGCAGTCACAGATTTGCTTGCAAATTGACGTAGCATCTCATGATTTTGAGATCTTAATGATTCAGCCTTAATGTGTGTGAAGTTTTTTTGTGGGGAGGGGTTCACCCTACAGAATATAGATCAGTATTGTTTGGTGCTGTATTAGAAGTTGGATCATCTAGTTGATTTTTCTGTACTCTAACCACAGGATAAATTGATGTTACAATCTCAGTTCTTTAAGACTGAAAACATAAGCATGTGATTCTTTCACAATTTAGAATAACTATTTAGCACTTATACATCAATTAATACTGTGGCAAAGAGCAGACATGATGCCGGGGGGGGGGGGCATGTATGTGGTGGATCCAGTTCTTCAGGAGCCTTAGAGGGAGAGGGTGAGCTATGGCCTGCTGCCACAAACTGCTGACCCTTGCTCTACCAGAGTATGAGGTTTTGAGTAAGATAGGCATTGCTGAGGCTTTGACATACCTCTCCCATATGCTTGGAGCCATGACTTCACTGTGGGAAGGCTCAAGCAGAAACATGCAGATTCTCTAGCACTCAAATGAGTGGCAGCCAGCTTGGGATGCTACCTTTCTTCTGTAAACAACCAAGAGAAATATCATATATACACAGCATCCAAAAAATACCCTGCATGACTCTTCAGGGCAGGAAGCCTGTGGTTTGCAAGGAACTCTATTTTAATTTTTTTTAAACCTGTGTTTTTCAAGCATTATTTAGATGCAAGGTTTCCTGCACATGCCTCATTTGAGGATGTTATAAGATCTAAACAGATTTCTGGATAAAACCAAATATTAAAAGCGATACATAAAACCAAAAAACATTTCTTAGGTTTTGGAAACCCAAGTTTGGTGCAGCAGTAGCTGCACCAGTGAAAGACATCACACCTTCAGAAAAGGATTTATTTCCCAAAGACCCTGTAAATCAGGGGTCTCCAAACTTTTTGAATCGCGCACCCCCAGGGCCACGAATGGTTGTGCGCACCCAACTTTGGAGACACTGCTGTAGACCACACAAAGTGAAGACACCCCCCAGAAATTTCAAAGCCTCAACTATAGCCATTTCCTACGCTTAGGCCTGGTCTAAACTCTAAAGCTGGCTCAACGTAAGTCGCCTTGCATCAACCTACTTGTGCACTAAAATTTGTCTCTGGGCGGCATAAGCACCCAATGATGGTGACAAAGTAAAAGCACCTTCCCTAATGATATAGAGCTATGGTTGACCTACTGAGGTGAACTTTGTGAGAGTATAGCCAGGGCATGACCTGTGTTGACCCTGTAGCAGCAGTCCCACAATGTCCCCATTCCCTACGACAGTGATCACTCTGGTCACAATTTTAAACTCTATTGCCCAGGGCTCACGGAGACTGGAAGCCATTTCCCCAAGTCCCCTGTGTATTTTTGAAATCCTTTTTCCTGATTTTTCCACCTTGTTGAGTGCACCTAGGAGCTCTCCTTTGTTATGTGCAACTGACCATGTACAGCAAGCACGACAATTCAGAGCTTCAGCAAAACAGTTTAATATTTATAAATGCTCAATTACTAACAGCACCCAAAGCTTCAGGCCCAGAGAACAGTCTAGCACAGAACGCGAGTGAGGCTGACTGTTACAAGTGCTCTTCCAAAGCCTTCGTCAACTGCATAGCTCCATGTCGGGTTCTTGCAACGGCCCTTGTGTCTGGCTGCTCAAAGCCACTCCACCTCCATCCTAGCAGTAGCTTTCCCCCTTTGCATGACAGATATTACACAGAATGCAACAAGCAGCTATAATCATTGGGATGTTTTTCTCACAGAGATCCAATCTTGTGAGTAAACGTTGACGGCGTTCCTTTAGTCTTCCAAAAACGCATTCAGTGGTCATTCTGCATGTGCTAAGCTGGTAGCTGACTCTTTCCTTGATGCTGTCAAGGTAGCCAGTGTAGAACTTCATGAGCAAGTGGTAGGCTAGGTCCCCCAGAATCACTATTGGTATTTCAATACCAATGGTAATCTGCCAGTCAGGAAAGAATGTCCCGCTTTCAACTTTCTGAACAGCCCTTTGTTCTTAAACCTACAAGTTTCATCCATCTTCCCTGACCAGTCCACATTGATATCAGTGAATTCCCAATTAATCAACCCTTGCATAACAATGGAAAAGTAGCCCTTTCTGTTTTATGTGCTCTGTGGCAAAGTGGGCTGATCCCAAAGTAGGTATATGTGCTCTGTCAATCCCCCTACCACAGTTTGGGAACCCTATTGCTACAGTCCATCCACTATGTTTGCACACTGCCTGTCCTGTGTAGCAGGAGAAGATTAATGGCCTTACACATTTGCATGACAATGGCCCCCACTGTGGATTTTCAAACTGTGGAAGCTTGCAATGCCAGTGGGAAATCCTTTAGAGTGTGATCACCACTCCTCTGTCAATGCTGCTCTTATTCTGGTGTCCTTGCAGTGGAGGACTGGTGCGAGCTCAGAATACAGAGCCAGGAATATGGCCTTCCACATTAGAAAGTTCAACAGCCAGTGCCTGTCATCCCAAAGCTGCATTATGGTGTGATCCCGCCAGTCAGTGCTCATTTCTCAAACCCACAAGTGGTGCACCGTCATCTGCAATTGCTCCATGAACGCCACCAACAGCCTTGTATTGTTTTCGCTATGTCCCTTAGCAAGCTGTCCTAGAAGAAATTGGCATGCCCCTGTTGTTGCAGTACTTCCTGCAAGTCTGTAAATACAAGAGAATTGTGCATCCTGTATTTGCAACATTCATGATGGTAGTGCAGATCTCTGCTGGCTCCTCGCTTCTGTCAGAGATGGCAGAGACCAAAAAGGGCCGGGTGGATTTTATGGATTTTTTTTTTTTTAAGGCACAGTAATTATGGCATGTGAGTGGCATTATGGGATGGAGAAAGTTGCATGCTGAGAACTTAACCCCTTACTCTCAGACATCCTTGGGCAAGTCATTTCTATCCCAAAAGGCATTGCACTATGCAGCAATGCATGGCACACTGGGATACCTACCCATAGTGCATCGACTTTGCGTCGACCCAAGCACTTCTAGTGAGTACTTGCAGTGCTGAAGCAAGCACTTATAAAAGTGCTTATAAAAATTTCAGCAGCCATATGCTGACATAACTGACAACCAAAGATTGTAGGGTAAACATGGCCTTAGTAAGGAAAACCTACTTGGTGGTAAGCAAGTGGCTTAACATTTAGGAATATATGACAGGCTTCAGGTTCACATTGTGGTAAAATCTTTGATGTAATGGGCAGTGGGGGATGGCTCCTACCTCAGAGGCTACAAGAAAGCTGTGTTAAATCAGTAGCAACCAGTCATAACAACCAGATATTCTGTTCATCCAAATGCACAGGTCTGAGGATGTTTGGGGAAACATCAGAGAAATGAGTAGTGGAGAATACAAAGAGACCTCATCCCTCACTGTCAAAGCCAGCATAGCAATCTGTTGGTCTCTCTCAACAGCAATGGTATTCAAGAAGGGACTAATCCCCTAACGAAAGAAAAAAACTGGAGCTGGATCTCCAAAGAAATCCTGATGCATTTTCTTCCCAAACCAACAAAATCCTCAATATGACCAGACAAAATGAGAGTCTGTCAGAGCTTACAATTCCTGTGCAAGACTGTCTTTTCCCCCTCACCCCCTACCAGCTGCACCCAAAGTCTTAAATGGCTGTTAGCAGACAACAAGGCTTAGGTTGCGAGTAACAAATCTAAACCCATTCATGGACAAGATCACACTCAATACCTGTTCGGAGAAACAGTCCCTTGCGGAGTCCTGGAGCCTCCTGCAACAATACTGGACCACCTCTGAATTCCACAGATGACCAGCATTACCCATTTGTGATGAATGAGGAAAGAAGGTGAAACAGAAAATTAGCACTCACCTCATTCTGATAACAACTGAACCAGTTTTTCTGAAATGTTAAAAAAAAAAAAAAAATCCATCTGAGGCTGACACTGGGCATAAGACATTTCTGACCAACCAGCTGAAATGTGTTAAAATTATAAGTAACTGAAAAACAGTCTTATAATGGAAAGTGGTAAGTCACATTCACTATAGGTTTCAGAGTAGCAGCCCTGTTAGTCTGTATCCACAAAAAGAAAAGGAGCACTTGGGGCACCTTAGAGACTAACCAATTTATTTTGAGCATAAGCTTTCACATCTGATGAAGTGAGCTGTAGCTCACAAAAGCTTATGCTCAAATAAATTGGTTAGTCTCTAAGGTGCCCCAAGTCCTCCTTTTCTTTTTACATTCACTATGGTTGCTCCCAGCTCCACTGGTAAAGAAACAAAGAGAAAAGACCCATTCTTTTTCCTCCTTAAAGGTCACCTTTAAGAGTAGTGCCCACTCTTTTCAGTGTTTCCAACACAGAAAGAAAAAAGATGTTTGAAACCCAAACGTTGCAGCACCCAGCTAATGTGTAAACTGGAAAATGAAACTATCTAGTTGGCTTGACTGCATTTATTCATTTCAGACACAAACCGCACAAATGGTGAAAAGGAAATTAGACTAAAAATAGTTGTAATAATCTGCTTCCTTAGTTAACACAACTACATTGTAACCTTAGGAGAGAGAGAGAGAGAGAAACGCACACACAGAGCCTTGGGACAGGATAGGCTTTGGCGTCTTAGCTTAGCAGCTCCCTGGGTGAGAGATGTGTGGAAGTCATCCATGTGATCACTAGCCTTCTTGTCCAATCTCTTGCCCTGATCCCTATGGCTGGAATGAAACCCTACGGGACCAATCACAGGGCAGCCTTCTGTTGTGCCAGCTTTATAAATGGTGGCAACTACCACTCCCCAGCTTCACACGCAGAGGAGAGGAGATTGTATCACTGCTAGAGCAGCTCCTCCCCTCCCCTCCTGCTCTCTGAATGCATGTATGAGAGAGAGAGAGAAAGAGAGAGAGAGACACACACACACACACACTCTCTGCCTATTGTCAAACTGCTTTCCCACGCCCGGATCATAGCATAGATACAGAGTTATGGGGAAAACTCAGGTTTAATGTAGGGATAAAATCAGGGTCTGTGTGCTTAGGGTGGGTAGGTTTAAAGTGCTGTGTGAGTTCAAAGTTCAGTTACCCACCCCTCCCCAAAAAAAGTGCAGTAGTTTTTTAAATGCAAGATGGCGACGAGGCAGTAAGAGGAGGAGGTACTGACACAGGCTGAGTGGGAGAGAGGCAGAGAGCAGCATTTCAAGGTAGGGATTTTAGCATTCGTTGCTTTCTCAGCTGGGGGGGCCGTGTAGGGGCTGATTGGAGTGTGTGAAAGAAAGACTGAGCGAAATATCTCTGGTGGAAGCTGGGAGGTATTTCTCTCTCACATACACATTCACATCTCCAGCCATTGCTTCTGTAACTGAAATTTGTGAGGGATTCTCCCCTTCAGTTCTCAATCACTTATAATATGGGAGAAGTGTGTTGGGACCAACAAACTCCTCACACCCTGGATTAGTGTGGGGAAATTTTACAGGAAAGAGACGTTGCCTCAAGGTTTAGCCAGAAGCAAGGAGAAAGAACTCCCCCTTGGTTTATTTCTAACCGCCAAAGACAGGAAAGAGGGGATGTCTTCATGGAGATGTTTGGATACTTTTAAGATTTTTGCGATGGGAGGGGTTGAGTGTGTATTCTTCGCCTCCCTATTGTTTGTCTGCAACTGATGAGACCTATGTTGTGCGTTCTCCCTATGGTGATTTAGAAGAGGCCCTAAATACTGTTGGGGGCAGCTTTTTGGGAGAGTGGGAGGCTCTGTGTTGGGTGGGGAGGGAGTAGTACCTAAAAACTAATTACAGTTTTGAAATGTACAAGCCTGATGATCTCTGTTCCAGGCCAATGAGATTTTTAAATCTCCTGGGAACATGCTGTAAAATCCTTCATCATGAGGTAATGTTAGGTTTGGTTTTTTGTTTTTTTTTAAACTGCTGTAAAATTGCTGAAGAACCAGGGAGATTTTCTTCTTTCCCCACTTCTCTCTCCCACCTCCAAATATGAGAGTTTGGCAGCTGTGTAGAGGGGATCTTGTGTATGTTTTTGTTTTTCGCAAATGGTCGAGGAAAATTGGACAAGTCAGATGAAAAGCAGCATAATGAACTTAAAATTTTCATAAATTTGAGGAACCCAATATGTGTGTGTTTTTTAATTTACCCGTGTGGGTCTTTTATTTAACTGATGTGGTCATGGGCTCAGATCATACAGTTCTAGCTTTCTTTAATCATCTTAAAATGTAAAATGAGTTTGCTACCTGTTCCATCTTTTCAAACAATGTTTGCAGGCAAAGTTTGTGAAATGTCATTTTTACTTTGTTTTCTGGGACATATAGATACCCAGTTCTGCATTCTGATTTTCAACTCTTCCCCAGATCAGGATGCACAGTAATAGAGATCCAAAGCTCAATCAATAAACCACATACTTCGAAAAGGTGCTGGACCTCTGAAATGGGTCAGAACACCTGCAGTAGTGAACACTAACTGGTAGGTACCTATGCTTTACCTCTGAGCACTTTCATCTTTCTGGGAGGACAATTACAGTTTACCTTTCTCTGTTTGTCATTTAAAACGTAAGAAGCTGGGATGTAAATGGATTTGCAACCAGAAATAAATAGCCCTTATTTTAAAAATAATTGCACCAGTACACAGGGAGCATGTTGGAGATATTCAGAAACATGAATTTCATGAAAAAAGCTGTGAAGTGCAATCTAAATCTTCTTTTAAAGGCTCTGTGATGAAGAGGCATTAAAACTACAGTCCATTTAGACCAAAAACTTGTTTTGTTTACAAGGATTTTACAAAATCTAATATGGCAAAAAATAATGTTTAAAGTAGATTCATAGATGTGACCAGAAGGGACCACTGTGATCCTCCTCTACAACATAGACCACAAGACTCCTCTGAATTAATTCCTGTTTGGATGAGATCATATCTTTTTTTAAAAAAACATCGAAGCTTAATATAGAAATTGCTAAGGATGGAGAATCCACCATAATCCGTTGTAAATCATTCCAGTGGTTAATTACCTTCACTAAGTCTTACTTCCAGTCTGAATTTGTCTAGTTTCAACTTCTAGCCATTGGACCTTGTTATACCTTTGTCTATTAGAGTGAAGGGTCTTTCTACTAACAAACTTCCATTCCCCATGTAGATACTTACAGACTGTGACCTAACTTAAATCACCCCTTAATCTTTTCTTTGATAAACTGAACATCTTGAGCCCTTTGAGCCTTTCACTAGAAAGCATGTTTTCCAATTCTTTAAAAATGTTCATGGATCTTCTGAATCCTCTCCAAATTATTAACATCCTTCTTTAATTGTAGAAACCCAAAGGGGATCCAATAATCTAATAGTGATTACCCCAGTGCCAAATACAGAAGTAAAATAACCTACCTAGCCCTACTTGATTGATATTCCCCTGTTTATAGATCACATTAGCCTTTTTTGTGAGAACTCATTCAGCTGATTATGCATCATGATCCACCCTCAACCACTTTTTCAAAGTCATTGTTTCTCAGGATAGAATCCTCCATCCTGGAAGTATGAACACATTCTTTGTTTTTGTGTGACTTCACATTTTGTTGTACTGAAACACATATTGTTTGCTTGTACCCAGTTTATCAAGCAATCCAGATTGCTTTGTATCAGAGGCCTGTACCCTTCATTATTTATAACTCCCCTAATCTTTGTGTCATCTGCAAACTTAATCAGTAAGTATTTTATGGTTTCTTCCAGGTCATTGATAAAAATGTTAAATAATCTAGGGCCAAGAACTGATCCCTCTAGAAACACACCCGCTTGATGATGAAGAGATTCCCCATTTACAGTTACATTTTGAGACCTGTCAGTTACCCAGTTTTTAGTCTATTTAATATGTGCTATGATTAAGAGTAGCGATGAAGTACCACGTTAACGTTCCCCTCAAAAGAACTGAATTCAAATTTCTTTAAGATCTTCAGTTAAAGTATTTGGATCTTAACTTAGTTTCATGTTCATATTGCAAAATTGCATCATGCAGGATCCGATCTTGTAATCTGCTGTAATCACTCTCCATATTTATGGATTTCAGTGGGAGTTGAACAAGCTGCGGATCAAGTTCACAGTTTGTAGTCACTGTTCAGGAGAGTCTTGGGGCGTGGATGACTGGAAGTAATGTCTGTCAATACGGATGGACAGAACTGAGTGAGACAGCTTGCATAGCATTGTCTTTCTTTGGTATAGCCAGCGTTGCTCTTCAAGTGTCATGAGCACTATATTAACACAGTTTGTGGAATGGTAGAAACAGGCTTTTGAACTGGAACTTTATAATCATTACAGTAATTCAGACACCTTCCAAAATAATGGAAATAAAAATACTTGGCAGTTGCATAGCACTCTAAATCGTCAAAGCATGTTACAAAGCATCTTACCTAGATGTTATTAAATGTAATAATGGTACAGTTTTTGACTAAAACCTGAAAATTAGGAACACTTTTTTTCTGTATATTTAAAAATTAACCTGAACTTGAATCCTTATGTCCTTATTTTTGCTATTTGTGTATACCCTCATCATTATTTTATTGTTAAAAGTTTCCAAAAGTGCTCCAATTCACAGAACTAATAAAGACAAAGTCTGTACTCCAAAGAGCTTTCTAACTAAGGCTCTGTTCCCAGGGGCTTGTGCATGGGCATAAAGGATCACCTTGCAGGAATGGGGCCAAATAATGTTCCATATAAGGGGGGAGGGATAGCTCAGTGGTTTGAGCATTGACCTGCTAAACCCAGGGTTGTGAGTTCAATCCTTGAGGGGGCCATTTAGGGATCAGGGCAAAAATTGGGGATTGGTCCTGCTTTGAGCAGGGGGTTGGACTAGATGACCTCCTGAGGTCCCTTCCAACCTTGATATTCTATTTTATGAGTCAGGTTTGTGGGGAGAGAATAGGGGTAGGGAAGGGCCTGTAGTATAGTAATAAGATTGTACTGTTTAGGCTTGTTGCAGCAGTATACATCTTCAAAGGCCTGTACAAATTACCAGTTAATCCTTAAAATACTTATAAGGTATGGAACTATTTCCTGTTCAAATAGGAGGAAAGTCTAGCAAGGGGGGCCTAATGATGCATGGTGCTGAGTTGAGGGTGCTCTTCACCTCCCAAGGTGGATCAGCACACTGGTTAAATGTCTTGGCACAGATCACAGAGTGAGGTCTGGCCTACACTACAGGGTTAGGTTGACGTAAGCTGCCTTGCATCAACCTCGCTGTGGAAGTGTCTTCACTTAGATTTGGCTTCTGCCAATGTAAGTGCCTCTCTGCGCCGATGTAGTAACACCACCTGCCTGAGTGGCATCGAGTCACAGCTGATGTAATTAGGTTGATGCAGTGTCAATGTAGGAGTCACTGTGTTGCTTATGTGAACTATTACTAGCTTTCAGGAACCGCTCCACACTGACAATACAATCGATACAAGTGCTCCTGGTAAGGACGCTGACCACTGAGCCAACTGTGCAGACACACAAGCGATTTAATAACTGTGGTGTCGGTATGCCAACTTAAGTTAGGTCAATATAATTTTGTAGTGTAGACGTGGCCTTAGTTAGGTGAAGCCAGAATCAAAACTCAGGCGTTCCTGACTCCCAACAGTGTTCTCAGCCCACTGATTACATTAGCATCCACTGATAACTTGTTAAATTCTATGGGTGAGATTTTCAGAAGTACTCAGCATTGGTCTAGCTCTGTATTAAACCCAACAGTAACTGTTAGTAGGACTGGATACTTATTTAGGCCCTGATCCTGCAAATTGCTCAGTGGAACTCTGCATGGAGACACAGGTTTACCCACACAGAAGTCTTGCCATTCCATGTGGGTGGAGC